TTTATGAAGTTGAATGTATCCGGTGTATATAATGAAATTATAAATGATTATTATATATATGGTATAATTTTACCATACAAAACCGAGTGTTAAACTATTAGGATAATAATAATTGTTAAAAGTTGGTTAACTTTCATCAGTTATAAAATAAATTGAGATAAGTAAAGCATTTTCCTCGTTTGTTGCAAACAATACATTTGAACAATACAGTATACACATTTACTACTAGTTTTCAAAAAGGTAATTAAATTTAAGCTTTACTTAATTATTTTTTTATTTTTCCATATCCTTTAAATGTGATTATTTTAATTTATTACTTTTTCAAACTAATGTTTATCAATTGTATTTTTTGGTGTCCATTCCAATTCAAATTTGTAAAAAAAAAAAAAAAATCCATTTAATATGCAGAACACAGTACCCTCTAATAATATTTAGAGAATGCTAGCAATCGCATTAATTATGTTTACCTAAGCTTTAGCTAAGCTGTACCAAAATTCAGAGTTTTTATTTAAATTTATGACTTGACCACCTTGATAATATAATATTCTGTCATTGAAATATAATTCATTTTATAATAAAGATTAACATTATGATTACCATAGATATTAAAAATATATAACAAATAATTATTTATTTTTAATTTTTCTCATTCTTATCAATGATTGGAACTTGTGTCTCTGTAGGTTTTGGTTAGGAATAATTTATTGTGCATTATGCAGTGAATGTTGTAGTATGCTGAAAGGGGTTGTGTGTGGGGACTATATGTTCTAGGTAAGAATTATTTATTGTACATTCTGCCGTGAACAGGAAAGACAGTTAATGTGATGGTAGGTGGAATATGAAAACTGTTGTAGGTGGAATATGAGAAATGTTATTGAAATATAATTCATATTATAATACATTATGATTACCTTAGATATTAAAAATATATAAAAAATAATAATTTATTTGTTATATTTTTCTCATTCTTATCAATGATTGGAACTTGTGTCTCTGTAGGTTTTTGGTAGGAATAATTTATTGTGCATTATGATAGTGGGATACGATAAGTTCACTAGGAGGAAAAAGAAAGAGGAAGTTGAAATAGAAGTGTAAAAATGTAACATTAACAAAATATATTGACAACATAAATTATGTATTGTAGTATACTGTATCCCAATCAAACTATTATGAAGACCAGATGCAAACTGTAAGGTATTAAGTGCATTGTATATTTGCTTGAGATTCCATTTTATTCATTCTGTGTAAATATTGTAATATTAGGGTCAATCTAATGCTAAAAGCTATTCAATTTCAATGTGTTTTTATTATATAGTGTTCATGGATGCTAGATGATAGTAGATTATTTTATTTATATTGGGAGAAAGAAATAAAATAGTATGGTATATCAAACAATGTTTTTGTTCTAGTTGTATGTTGTGTTCTACAAGACTTTTTCCTCAGCTATGCTCACATTTTTCATATTTTGCTTATCTATAGTAATCAGAGTGATTTTGCAAAACTAAATCCAGAATAACAAAGAGAATAAATAGAAGAAGAGAGCGTACTCTTGTTTGTTAAATCACCACTCCCTAGTGTAGGAAGCCCTCAGCCATTTGTATGTTCTTTTGCTTACTCAAGTACTGACGTACGCCCACTATGAACTTGGTAAGTAGAAAACAAAGATAGAAAACTTTTAAAACTGTGCACGTACCACGCGGGTAAACATACAAACGACAGCGGGCTTCCTACACCGGCTGCATAGGGCGTATCGTTTGTTCACGCTCTCAATGAGCGTAGTGGCTCTCTTGTTCTATTATACTCTTATTTTTATTTCTAATTTTTCTAGAATAATTAGGGGCATTTGATGAAAAATTTTTAAATTGTTAAGACATATTTTTTAATATTTCAAAACTTTATGCTTTTACATTGTATAGGTTATGCAATACCTGAGAAGTAGTGTCCAAGTGAAAATAGCAAGATGTAGTGAGTGGTAAATTACACAAGATTCTACAAAAAGACTTGCATCTTGATTGACCTGCTTAAATTGATGGTACAGTACTGCCTCCAGATGTTCCTGCCTCACAATAGTTCTGCTTCCAGATCTTCCTACTTGCTGGTTGTTGTACAATCTGATTGTTATACCTCAAAATGTGTGGTCCTGCCTTTTTATGGTCCTGTTTGCTGATGAATGTCATGATGATCCTGTCTACTAATGGTTAGTAACTTCTGCTATAATACTTTCAATGTCCATGTGGACATCATCTGTGAAACCATTGTTGTGTCGCACTTTGTAATAATCATCGCACGGTAATAACCGTCGCATTTTGTTATAAAGTCTGTCGCACTTTGTAATAACTGAGCTGTCGCACTTTATAATAACTGCCTGTCGCACTTTGTAATAAACTCTGTCGCACTTTGTAATAAAACACGATCCATGTTATCATCTATAGATTTTTTATGAATTCTCATTTTTCTCGGGGATCAAATTTGATTTTTTTCTCTTGTTTCGTATTGTGTCATCTTTACATCGATGAAATGGCTCCAAACCGAATAGACCCTGCCCAGGATCTAGTGGGGTCAAAGTTGATATTTCTTGGAATAATTATGTTTATGTCCGACGATGGGGATATGGCTTTAATGGACCGACTGGGGCCTAGTAGAAATAGAGCCATATCGCCATCGTCGGACATAAAATTATATAATCTGACATACGAGAAATATAAAATTGGTAAAGATGATACACTACGAAACGGTGAAAAATCAAATTCGGTCCCCGAGAAAAATGAGAATTTATCAACAATCTAAAGATGATAACATGGATTGCGTTTTATTACAAAGTGCGACAGAGTTTATTACAAAGTGTGACAGACAGTTATTACAAAGTGTGACAGCTCAGTTATTACAAAGTGCGACAGACTTTATTACAAAGTGCAACAGTTATTACAAAGTGCGACAGTTATTACAAAGTGTGACGATTATTACAAAGTGCGACGCAACACATAATCAGCATAGGTAAATAATCATCATCATTAACCTCCTCAGACATTATCATTATCATCACCATCCATATACACAGCATATCATAGCCACGACCATGATGGAAATTTTCATAATCGCCATCATTTTCTTTATTGTAATTGATGCATAAATAAAAAGATTTTATTTTTAAGATGATAAAAATAATTGATCATTTTTACAAGCAATTTTTTTATTGGTTGAACATGTAAAATTCCAAATAGAGTTTTTTTTTAGTTAATTACCGTACTCGCGCGAATAAGCGCCCCTTTTGAATAAGCGCCCCTCTCGAATAAGCGTGAAACGTGAAAATTTCCTTAAGCGCCCCGTTTGAATAAGCGCCCCTTCTAATTTGAATAAAAGCCCCCTCAATAATTCAATCAATTCTGGACTGTGGATGTTGGCATGATTTGAGGTGTGGAGTGGAATCACATTCTCCTTTAGTCAATATCAAAATGAGGATATTTATCTTGGACAGATGAGAGCTCTCTGGATAGACAGTATATTTCCAACTTTCATCTTCTTACTTTTTTCTATAGCCTAGTCCTACTGCTTTTCCAACAATTTGCACCTAACAACACATTCCCATCTGAGTTTTCAAGAAAACCTGCAATGATCATGCAATCCTGCTAATCTCAATCAGCATGGCCAATACGTAACCACCACCACTAATTTCATCTGCTATTCTGCTGTTATGTAATAATGTACTCACAACATTCTTGTCATGATAAGCCATGCTCTCCTGACGATTATCTTTTCCGCCCCACCACCATTCGTAATTTACGGTTTCCTGATGTCCTTATATAATCATTTTTCATTCAAAATGTGCCTCTTGAATTTATTAAGTTGTCATAATAACCCCTCGATTTTCATCTATTTCCATAAGCGCCCCCTCAATTTCCACTCTGTTTTGATAAGCGCCCCGTTTGAATAAGCGCCCCTCAAAAAGGGCTAAAAATATTTTAAGCCCCCGGGCGCTTATTCGCGCGAGTACGATACTCAAATATAATAAAATGCACTGAGGAAAGCAACTATGAAGAGATTATAGAACCAGAAAAACGAAGGTCAAGAGTTCAAAACTGTGAAGCAAGTAAAGTAAGAGTCTGTTTCATTTTTTAAAATTTGAATGTAACACATTTGTAATGGCAGAATTGAATGTTTTGCTAAGTTATTACCAATAATATAACATTAGGTTTTACAGCTATTAAAGTGAATTGGGGGCGGGGGGAGAATACAAAACATTATTTTTTGTGACTACCTCCCTCTCCTGAAAGAGCAAATAATAAAATTGTAATTTTTTGCATTTTCCCGAAAGAGTAAATATTAAAATTGGTTCTTTTTTTTTCTTCTTTTTTCATTTTTAGAGTATTATACACTTGACTTTTCCCTTTTCTGTTTTACTTTGAATATCAGTGCACCAGCAATCAACCAGATGGTGATATTTCGTTTAAGCAAAATAATAAATAAAAAAAAGCCTCCCTCATAACATTTTCCAGACTAAATAGGGTAAAAACTAAAAGACATAATATTTTTATAGGGCTTAATAACATCATAATTAAGTAGGCAACCTTCAATTAAAGTATACATGCAGTGCAATACAACCTTTAATAATAATATTTCTTTTAATGACAACATTTATTTGGTAATATACCAATACAATGGATTGAATTTTCAAATGATCACTATATTAATTAAACATTAATGTATTAAATCTAAATAGACGTATACATGAATCATATGCTAACATGGTCAAAATCTGTCCTTTAGCACTGTCAAATGAAAGAAACTAATACTGTATGATGAAATCAAACTTAACAAATAATTTAATTTTCATTAATCATGTACCCAGCAAGGGCATTTTATTTGCTTTCAATAAATTTAATATGGAATTCTAAATTTTGTTTAAAAATGCATTTTTTTTTTGCTATTTAATGGAATTGATTCATTATGTACATCAGCTAAAATAGAATGGTTTGATGAGTAAAAATATGTTGTATATGATTTCAGTAATTAAATATTTTAATGTTCCTACCACTACAATTTGCTATAGCAACTTTTCTTGGATTATAAGAAACTACTGATAATCCAAAAGGATAATTTAATCCATCTTCTTTTTGATCAATTCTTTTAATGAAATGTCCATCACTGTTGAATAACTGTAGTTTATTCTCACTTGTTACAAGCATGTTATTATCCTTATCTATTATCACTCCACATGGATACTGCACCTTACCATCCTGATCACCTTTACCTACAAGAACCTTGATGAATTTGCCTTCATCATCAAATAATTGTAATCTGTGATTATAACGGTCTACTACAATGAGATGTCCTTCATTAGTAACAGTAACATCACATGGTCTCCACAATTCACCTTCTCTTTCACCTTTTGACCCAATGTTTCTGATCATCTGATCACTATCCATGTTAAACATGAACACACAGTGTTCATTGATGTCTGCAGCATACACTACATTTAATTTCTCATTTACATCAATTCCATAGGGATTCTTTAACACTCCCTTACCAATTGATTTGATCACATGACCATCTGATTTGCATAATGTTATGCATTTATTTCCCCCATCAGTAAATATTATCAAATCATTCTTTTTCATTTTGTACATTGATCTAACCTTCACATTTGATAGTAGTGTTATCTTACTGGCATATTCTCCAGACTGTTTATAGCTGTGAATTTCATTGCTCAAAGCTGACACTAACAGACAACCATCGTCAGCCATCACTACATTGCATAGATTAATCACATTTGTTTCTATTGTTTTAACCAGACTTTGCTTCTCTACATTGATCATCAAAGGAGATCCTCTTATTGGGTCATCACTAAAACTGACTTCAAGTTTCCAAACACCAGTACATTTGAACTTTGACCTCATTACATGCTTTCTTCTATCATGTTTTGATATTTGCAATTTTGTTTCCTCTCCTGGAGAGGTCAATGTAGCTTTAAGTAAATTACTGTCTACATCAGTAGAACTATGTTGAACTATTTTACACTCAAATGCATATTCTTTTGTCAACATTGTGCGTACATTTATTATTTCAAAACATGTCTCAGTAATGAAACCTAATGCTTTCTGTCCGAGTGCTTTTGCATTATATTCTTTGTTGAGGTTAACATACATTTCTCCATTATCCTTTGGTTCTGTTTCTGGTAATTGCTGGATTGTTTCTTGTAGACCTGCAATTGCATTATGACTTGACTGCAAAGCTGTTGCTTCATTGCTTTTTAGTAATTGAGCAATAAAGTTCCATTTCGTGTCAACATTCAGCAAAATAGTGTTGAGTTCATCTGTTTGTGTATCCGTAATTCTTTTCTTTTTTGTGTACACTTCATCTAAGTTCCTGCTAAGTTCCTCACCTTTTTCTGTTATCATTTTAATCATGTCTTCAACAAAGTTGTTGATATCCTTTCTACATTTTTTTCTACACTGTTCAAGTTTATTAATTTTATGCTGAACTTTAGTAAGAGCCTCCTGAATCTTGTTTTTATAGGCATCAACATCTTTTTTCAACATTGTAGATGTTTGTTTGAAAAACTTGAATGCTTCAGATATATGATTAAGTTCATGCTTACCACCTAACTCTTTATGATCAGTGACAGTACAGTGCATACAAACAGGAACTTTACAAATATTACAGTAAAATTCCAGTTCTTTTTTGTGAGCAGGACAGAGCGGGGGACGTAATGCAGACAACTGTGTTATTGTCATCGACTGAATATCTTCTATTGTATGTAATTTGTGTTGTAGCAGTGCAGGTAAAGTTTCATGAGTGTGTTTACATGCAGTACATATGTACTGCATGCACTCCTGACAGTAGAAGTCTGCAGTGTTTTTTCCACAATAGCATTTCATTTTGTCTGCATTCTCAAATTGCTCAATACATTCCAGTAGATTATTGATGAATATGTTTGGAGGCAATTTTTTCAGTCCACCATTGGGAATGTCATAGAATTGGCGACAGTTTGGACATTGTAGCCTACCCTTCTCATTGACCCATTTAGTGAGACATGATAAGCAATAAGTGTGGAGGCAGGGAAGTGTTTTAGGATCCTTAAGCCTTTTGTAGCAAAGTGGACATTCTAACACTTTCTCATCCAAATGCTCAAGAAATTGCTGTACATTACTGGCAGCAGCCATCTTGAATATCTGATAACAACAATATAATAAAAAGAATGCAAATGTATTATTGTAAAATAAAACACAGAAAAGGCAAATATATTAACAAAAATATAATACAGAAAAATGCAAACATAAAATAAATACGGAGAAGGCAAATGTGTAACATGCAATACAGTGGCGGCTCTAAGGTATATTTTCTGGGAGGTGGGGGCTAAACTGTCCGATAGGGGACTTGAGCTTTTAGGCCCAAGCTGGGGGAAGGGTTTGAGGGGGGTTCCTTGTCCTAAATGAGATTTTTTTAAGAATAGCAACCTCTGGATGGTAGGAAATGGCACTCTCAGACTGTGACAGACAGCTCTGTCCGACGGGGTCCTTAACCTGTCCAGTGGGGACTTAAGCCCCCTGTCCCCTGCTGGCACCGCCACTGATGCAATAAAACACAAAGAAGGCAATGGTATTAAACACAAAGAAGGCAAAGGTAACATAACTATATATACAGAGAAGGTATGCTTATGGCACCTAAATGTCTGGAAATGGCACTTTTATACATTAAAATGTTTTCTAATTGTCTTTATGGTGTGATTTAATCTAAATTTGCTCACGTCTTAGCCACCAACCATTATAAGCTATTATCATGTTTGTTAGGGCTGATGTGATCAAATTTGACAGCTCTAGATGCTCAGGCAGAGCAGCACTTACATACAGTATTTCAAAAAAAGTTTATTTTGTGAATACTTACATGAATAAACCAATAAATGCCTAAGTTTCATTTGGAACTTACCTCCCGAGTATAAAAGAAAAATAGTGGACTTGCCCTAGCTCACCTACGCCATGCTTGAAATGAACAATATCCTCTTTACTTTGAGTCTGTAACAGATATTGGCAAGGGAGGAGGGATGTTGTTTATCTAGGTAAGTATCTCACTCATAGACTAACAACATCACTACTGATTTGTAAGTTTCACTGGACATCGTTAAAGACCCTTTTTATGTTACAGATTTTATTGGTAAATTTGTCTGAATGAATTAAAAATTTGATCCTTAACTTAAAAAATTAAAATTTTCTGTAATTTTGTCAACAATCAGCAATTTAAATACATGTGTATACCATAGAATGGTGTTTGTAGTGCCACCATCTCAAAATTAGTTTTTGCCAGAATCTTGGTCCCCAACCCCAACC